GTTAAAGGATTTTTAGGCTGCATTAATTAGGTCAACCGGAACTGGGAACACTTTCCATAACACCCAATGTACTTGCTACATCGCTAGAATAATGGCATCTACGCTAATATTAGTCTGTTTCTCTCTTATTCCGAGGTCACCGTAGCCACCAGATCCAGTCTGTATCCAGATCAGATGGTCACTGCAGTCACCCGGATCCAGTACGTATTCAGACCAGATGGTGGATCAGCACCTAGAGAGGACCTCTACAGCCCTGAATGTCAGCGGAGACCAGGACAACTAGATGAGCCCCAGAGACAGATCCCCAGTGAAGACCTCGTTTCCTAGACGGCCATCGAGACAAGACCACGGAACCAGATGAGTCCTCTGCACAATCTAACTTTGCTGCAGCCTGGAATTGAACTGCTGGTTTCGTCTGGCCAGAGGAGAACTGGCCCCCCAACTGGGTCTTCCAAGGTTTTTTCTCCATTCTGTCACCGACGGAGTTTTGGTTCCTTGCCGCTGTCGCCTCTGGCTTGCTTAGTTAGGGACACTTAATTTCCAGCGATATCGTTGACTTGATTGCACAGATACTATTTAAACTGAACTGAGCTGGATGATGGCATCACTGAATTCAATGATGAACTGCCTTTAACTGAAAATTGAGTGTTTACTGTTGTAATTTTGCATTAATGACACACTATTTTCCTAATTAATGCTGTACAGTTGCTTTGACACAATCTGTATTGTTAAAAGCGCTATATAAATAAAGGTGACTTAACTTGACTTGTGATGGTAGCTATCTGTGGGCGTGTCTGATAGATGGAACCAGAACTTGGCTGCTCTCTTTTGGATTTCAGAGAGCAGAGGGAATCTGCCCAATCAATGTTATTCACGTCACCTGTAAGTAATTGTAATCTTATGGGTAATTAGTGTATATGTTTTTCTGAGTCCTGCCATTTCATGCTGTTGGTTTACCTAAATATTGATAAACTGAAACCGATTTGTTGGGAGCGACGACCCAAAATTGGTCAAAAGTCTAATAAGCAGCGACATAAAACATCTAGTGGAGGTTTGGCTGCTAAATGAGGATCTACAAGTTATTAATTTCAAGGGTTCACCTACTTTCTCTACGTTGCACTGTAAATGACTATTTTATGTATTCAATTAAAATGTGAAAAGCAGAAATTAAGATCAAATCAGAAATCCAGATATTTCAAAGTGTTTGCACACATATTTTGTGATAATTTATATACATTGTTACACGTGATTAGCTATTATGCAACCTACAGCTTGAACCAGATTCCAGATGTCATCAAAGAAGTCTCAACAGTAGCCCTAATCAAATCCAGACTGAAAACATGTTTACCTGTGCATTCTCTCACTAAAGATACATCAAAAAATGCAGTGCATTATTCATTATTTCCCTCGGTTTATGTCCTTTTTATTTATAATTTTCATTTGCATTGTGTCTGTCACAGCAAAATGGAAGTTTATGTAATATTTTGATTGTGACGTATTAACCTGAACCAAATATAAAAGCGATGCCTCTATTCAATCAAAATTAATTTCACACTTCCACATATCTTCTGGTGCAATTTTAAATTGTATGAAAAGAATTTTAAAGTTTAACTGGCTCAGCAAAGAACAAAAATAGGGTCTCACTTCTGCGTGATATTACAGGTATACAGTATCTCACAGAAGTGAGTACACCCCTCACATTTTTGTAAATATTTTATATTTGTCCAAGCATGTCTCCAGACCTATTGAGCATCTGTCGAGGAGCGCAAGGTCTCTAACATCCACCAGCTCCGTGATGTCGTCATGGAGGAGTGGAAGAGGACTCCAGTGGCGGGTGTACTCCCTTCTGTGAGATACTGTATCTGTAAGTGTGATTTTTCTTTCTTTCAGCACAATGATCACAATGAAGTGCCCTCCATGCAGAGTGATGCACAGGTGATTTTTGAAATTGCTAGGTTTTTCAAACCTCATCACACTGAGGAACATTGCAATTTCTTTCCAGAATGAGTTTGCAAGTGACGTTTCAGGTGTTTGAGATATGTGAAACTAATTTCACACTGTAGACACGTGAATGGCTTCTCTCCAGTGTGAATCCTCATGTGAGTATTTAGATTTCCTTTAACTGTGAAACTCTTTCCACACTGAGGGCAGGTGTAAGGATTTTCTCCAGTGTGAATCCTCATGTGGATTTTAAGCCTTTCTTTTTTAGTGAAACTCTTTCTACACTGTTGTCAGGTGTAAGGCTTCTCTCCAATGTGAATCCTCATGTGAGTATTTAGGTTTCCTTTAATTGTGAAACTCTTTCCACACTGTTGGCAGGTGAAAGGTTTCTCTCCAGTGTGAACTCTCATGTGGGTATTAAGGGTTCCTTGATGTGTAAAACACTTTCCACACTGAGGGCATATGTAAGGTTTCTCTCCAGTGTGTATTCTCATGTGGACGTCAAGGTTTCCTTTTTCAGTGAAACGTTTTCCACACTGTTGGCAGGTGTAAGGATTTTCTCCAGTGTGAATCCTCATGTGGATTTTAAGCCTTTCTTTTTTAGTGAAACTCTTTCTACACTGTTGGCAGGTGTAAGGCTTCTCTCCAATGTGAATCCTCATGTGAGTATTTAGATTTCCTTTAACTGTGAAACTCTTTCCACACTGTTGGCAGGTGAAAGGTTTCTCTCCAGTGTGAACTCTCGTGTGGCCATTAAGGGTTCCTTGATGTGTAAAACACTTTCCACACTGAGGGCATATGTAAGGTTTCTCTCCGGTGTGTATTCTCATGTGGACGTCAAGGTTTCCTTTTTCAGTGAAACGTTTTCCACACTGTTGGCAGGTGTAAGGATTTTCTCCAGTGTGAATCCTCATGTGGATTTTAAGCCTTTCTTTTTTAGTGAAACTCTTTCCGCACTGCTGGCAGGTGTAAGGCTTCTCTCCAGTGTGAATCCTCATGTGAGTATTTAGATTTTCTTTAACTGTGAAACTCTTTCCACACCGAGGGCAGGTAAAAGGTTTCTCCCCAGTGTGAACTCTCATGTGGGCATTAATTGTTGCTTTATGTGTAAAACACTTTCCACACTGTTGACAGGTGAAATAACTTCTAGATCTAGTTGTTTGAGCTCTTTTTCGTGAGGAAGACATTTTAGTCTGAACAACTAAAATATTGTTTGCAGTTGTGAAATTATGTTTCTCTTCCTTCGCATCATTCAGTTCTTGACTCTCCTCTTTCAGCGGCATCAGGTCTGAGGTGAAAAGAGACAAATACGAGTTAACCCCAGTTTAATGGCACAAAGCAGCAGATATCAAAACATTTCGCTATCCTCAAAGTTTTTGGGGCCAGCGTCCCCTACCCATTATCAAATAAAATGTAGTCTGATTGTATTCCCTGAATATTAAAGTTGATGACTTTTTGTGTTTATCAGGGGCCAAGCAGACAGTATTGTAATCCCGTTTGTATCTGTTGGCTTTCTTTTTCTTATTATTCCTCCCCAAATGGGAGTTTATGGAAGCCGTATGAACTATACCTTCCAAAATGATCAAATTTGGCACACTGACTGGTGTGGTCCTGAATAGTAATCTGATCAACTTTAGGGTCTCTACGACCAACTAGAGACTTTTGAATGCCACCAGTTCAAAAATTCACTTTTTTGATACTTTTAATAACTTTTGTACTAAAACTAATTTTTAGTTTACATTTTACATGGACTGCCCGTTACAGTAGTCATCATTTTGAAATGTACTGAACTCCATTTTTCTCTACTAAATTTGATCTGATTCCCATCAAATGGCCTCAGATTATTATGCGAATGAGCTACAAAAAAAAGACTGATCTGAATTTTGATTCTCAACTCTGTTCAAAAGTTGCGATGACGTGAACTTAATGATTTTGACCTGAATTTGAATATTCGTAACACATGTATCAATAAAACATAAACCTGTGGACACTTCATCAGCACCATGAGCTGAGGATTCATGCTGAACTTGGAAACAGTGGCACTGTACAGGTCGTAAAATATGAAATGTCTATTTTTGCTCAGAACTTTTGAAAAGTTTGTGAAAATCATAATCTTGGTGTCTCCTGATTCCATGAATCATGCCGATTCAGTCAATACTGATTTTGCCAGAATCTGACAAACTGTCTGTTCACCATTTTGAAAATGTGCATAAAATGTGATATTTTCAAAATGATGAAAATTTGATAGACATCATGATTCAAATGTTAAGATACCTGAAAAGTTTGAAGACAGTGCGAGCGAAAAAAAAATGTGGGTGGATCCTCATTTTACTGGAGTAGATGCCATTTCCTGTATTCTGGTGCCTTTTAATTATACAAAACTGTTACCACATCCCTGGCAAGGTTTCCCAAAAATTAACACTGCAACAAAAGTCTAGTAAGCTGTTTGGGGGGGGCGGGGAAATGTACTGTATCTAGCTAGCTAGCCTAGCAAAAATGTGAGATAACTGCTAACGTAACAACAAAATAGTGTAATGCCTAGTTCACACTACAGGATTTTAAGCCCGATGTGCAAGTTAACGAGCTCGCTGACAGGGAAAATCAGCGGGTGATCAGCGCTCGGCAATCTTTGTGTGTGAACTACTCAACGACGCATCAAAGAGGCTTGCAGACGCCAAATAAATATTTAGCATGCTAAATATCTGGACCGGTCGGCCGACTCGACATCACGTGGTGTCAGGTGTCTCTACAAGCTACAGCCAATGAGAGCAAGACATGGGTTGAGGTCAGCGGAAGAAAAACAGCAGCAGCAACACGGCTTTAAGACAAGTTTGGACAAGAAATGGAGCTAATTTTTTCATCACGCAAACAGCTTGCAGCACTAATTTCTTCCCGATGTCCATTTTTAAATAAACAACTCCTGTTCCACGTGTTGTTTCGCATCATTCCCGTTCAACTTCTTGCATGTATTTTCGTGACTAAACGTGGTTTGGGGACAGGATAGAGTCGTTGGGTGACAGAACTGTTGTCAGCTTGTGTAGTGTGTGACCCCGTTGCGGATAATTGACGTAGTGTTGCGTAGTGTGAACACCACAACGACTTCAAGACAGCCTAGATGTCATGTAGTCTGAACAGCACAGCGATCGAGAAGGTCCTGGCTGCAGCCTGCAGAATGGGGTGGGGTTGCATCTGGGTACATGTGTCGCCCCGCCCACAAATCATATCATTGGTTAATGACAAAGTAAATGATGCCAACGACTCTCAGCAGGATTTCATTTCTACTTGTTCGTCGCTGCACTGGTGAGTAGATGAGCTATGTGATTTGTCTAATTTGATTATTTGTAATCTTTGATTACAATGTTACGTTCATTATGTCATTAATGGGCGATTATATAAGGAGATGTGAAGTAGTTAAAATAAGATCGGCCTCGTGTAACATCGTTCACTAAAGCAGCGGTTTCCGACCCGTGCCCGTGCCCATTTTAGCGCGGGAACTCATATGCTTTTAGACAAAAATATAAAAATCGATGTATAAACAACTTTTCTTCAGTAGTTTCTAAGAATTATTAAATCGACTGGCAGCTAATAACCGCTGGGCATTGAAAAGCATTAAAAGTCATTAAATGGGCTTTGCATTAATTAAGGCCTTGAATTGCATTAAAAGTCATTACATTTATTTCTGCAGGCATTTACAAATTTTAGATGGTTTTGAAAGAAAATATTACCAGTTTATTTTGAACATAATTTTTAATTTGCTGTCGCAAATATGTACATTGATGCGATACAAACGCGGAACCACTTTGGTAACGTTAACTGGTGGAGTAAAACTTCAGAGCAGAGAATGTACATTTCTTAAAGTCAGAAAGAAATGGGGAAGTGCTATTGAGCAACTTCTGCGAGAATGATTCTGATTTTATTACAATCAATAAAATGATGCTGAAAATTCAGCTTCGAATCACAGGAATGAATTGCTTTTAATGTATTCACATAGAAAAGTAATTTTAATTTGAAATAATATATTTCTCAATATTAGTATTACTGCAGCATAAGAGACTTGTTGCAAAAACATTACAATCCTTTGATGGTAGTGTGATATATACACATAACGTTACATATTTATACTAGTCAACATTTGAAGTGGATCAAAACCTTTCATTAATGTTGTCCTTAAACCAAAACAATATCCATTCTTGTCTTAGGACAACTTTAATGAACGTTTTTGATCCACTTCAAATGTTGACTAATGTGTGTGTGTGTGTGTGTATATATATATATATATATATTTACATTTATTTATTTTATGGGTCGTGTGTATGACATTAAATAAATCAAAAAATAAAAAGCATTAAATCAGATTTGATGATACCTTCAGAAGCCTTGTAATAATCCGTTCATCTTTTATTATGAGTTAGTTTAATTGTGCTTCAAGTAAAAATACGGTACGGCGATGGTCAAGGACAAAAGGTTGTGAACCACTGCACTAGAATAATATAATATTTGATGTTAAAACTCATGGTCTGTGCTTGTTTCTGTTTGCAGGTCTTTGTAACTGTCATCTTTCATTATACTCACTGTTTCCCACTTTTGCTATTTACTTTATTACTTTGTGTTGTAGTGTTTAGTGTTAGTCTCTAATCCTACCCCTACATCTCTCTCCTCTTTTTATGTTCACTGTATAACCCAAAGGCTCTTTCCACTTGTTTTATTTCCCCTGTAAAAATGCATAAAACTGTGTTAAACAAGGGGGAGTGTGAGCAGTCCTTAAAAAACTGCACTAGTAAGAGCCCATTCTGCCAGTGCACCAGTATGCCACAGCTGGTGTATTATCACATAGAAAATCACCTTCAATTGGCAGTGAAACATCATGGTGAGTTTACCAGTCTTTTAGTGATTTTAAGAGTCCGCTATGTATTGTGTAAGCTGCTAATTTCATTGCTTCTGACTTTGTTATAGAATGTTTACTTTAAAGGTTCAGGTATAATTAATTTTCTGTGTTCCACCCATCTCACGCACAGTTGAGCACACAAGCATCTAAAACGTTCAAATCTCAAAAATCTAGCTACACATGGACTGTGTGCACAGACCTTAGCAATCTGCTGATGACAAATATTACATCACAGACTGTTCAAGAGCCAGAGCGGAACACAGACAAGAGGAGTATAATTTCAGTCAATTTTAAACAGCTCCATAGTAAAATCCCCTTTTTTTTTTTTTGGTACCCTTTCAGACTTCACCATCTTAAAGGGATCATATGATGTTGCTAAAAAGAACATTATTTTGTGTATTTGGTGTAATGAAATGTGTTTATGCGGTTTAAGGTTAAAAAAAAACATTATTTTCCACATACTGTACATTATTGTTTCTCCTCTATGCCCCGCCTTTCTGAAACAAGTCGATTTTTACAAAGCTCATCGGTCTGAAAAAGCGAGGTGTGCTGTGATTGGCCAGCTATCCAGTGCGTTGTGATTGGCCGAATTCCTCAAGCATGTGACGGAAATGTTACGTCCCTTACCATATTGTGATGCCTGCGGCAACCACATGTGACGACCTCGTGGCTTCGTCCACGGTGAAAGCCGATCCGGCGATCCACAGCGCGAAATTGATGTATTTCCTCAGCAACCAGCACGGATCAGCTCCAGGCATGACGAAGCGGATATCGTCCTCTTTTGGAAGACCAAACAAAGTAGTTTCGCTTTCACAACGAAGCACACAGCGCCTTCACGACATGGCGGCGGTGGCAACAATACTACAGCGAGAATAAAAGTTACGCCTTCTTTCTTTGCGTGAACATTTGGGTGGCGTTATGCAAATCTTCCCAGATGGGGACGTAGACATGGGGGGGCGTTAGAACGAGCCGTTTTAGGTAGGCGTGGCTGACTCAACTTTTATAAAGAATATCTCTTTGGATTTGAAACTTTAGTCTTTGCAACTTTACAGATCTTCTTTATGCACCAAGAGCTTGTAACACTCCAAAGAGAAAGGAAAAATTGAAATCGCATCATATGACCCATTTAAAATGCAATTTAAAATGTCGGGCGAAGTCCCACTTTCACTGCTGCTACTGTTTACAGTCAACACAGTCTGTTAAATCGGGCACAATTTCTGACACGCATTGCCAGCCATCCTTAAGAGTCACTAGCAACCCAGCCTCAATCGTCCGCTGTCCCGCAGCCTCAGCCTCAATCGTCCGCTGTCCCTCAGCCTCAGTGGTCCACTGTCTTGCAGCCTCTGCCTCAATCGTCCGCTGTCCTGCAGTACTTTGTGACATCAGGGGCCTTTGATTTTACA